AATCCTCACTCTATTTTTGAGTTAATAGAAATGTTTATTGAAAGAAGGCTCATTTCAAAACCTGCAGCAAGGTGCAGGAGGGAACAAGTAGAGAGCAGCTACCTGGCACATTTAAGAACTGTATCGAGGAGGTCTGGCCACCAACAGCACAGGCTAAGCTGAAGTGTGCAGTCTGTGTGGAAAGAAAGATGGTGGACGAGGGACACGCTAGCCCAGGCAGAGTGCACACACCTGGGCCGGAACTATTCCTCTGACCATGCTGGTGAACTCCAGACCCTAAGAGGGCGGACCCCAGGATGAGCAAGAACACCCAGGAGGGAGCCCATGGGGAACAGAGTGAATGCAGTCTGGAGCCCAGAAACGTATAGGGTGGTGCAGCCAGACAGGGCTCTGGCCTGGACAGACGCGCCTGAGCTCACAGCCAGCTCACTGACTCGGAGTTGCGGGGCCTTGGGCAAAGGCTCAACCTCCTCCTGCTGTGCACACAGAGAAGCAAAGCCCTGTAAAGGGCCTGCCACAGCGCCTGGCACGCGCACTTACTCCCTGGTTGACTGTAGCAGCAACAATAGCAGCATTTCAGCCCCTAATTCTCACAACTGTAATAAGAGAATCCATAACTGTTCCCACCAACTAAACTCACTGACAGTCCACGCGCCTTACCACCTTCAGCACTTGGGCTGGCATTTCCATGTTAATGTCTGAAAAAGAGGAAACAGCATTTCAGCATGGGGGAACAGAAAGACTGGGGCTACTCAAAACGAAAGTTCCCCGTAGCGTGAGACCCCATAAACGGGAAGGACCCAGGCTGCCCCGTTCCCTCTGGGCCTCCTGACGCCTCTGCCTCTCGTCTGTGAGGGCACACCAGGGTGAACCTAGAAGAAGCTGCTGATCTCAGTCCTGGGGAAGCCCCCGGAGTTGCAGAAGTCAGAATGCACAGGGACCACGGTGCCCCTCTCCCAGCCCTGAGGAGCCAGGCCTCGAGCTAAGCTCAGCGGGCCAGGCTGAGGGCTGGCACGTCAGGCACGGAAGGACAGCAGTCAGCGTCCACTCCTCAGGGGCCAGCCCCCCGCCCCCACCTTAGAGGCAGCTAAGCTTGCTCATCTGTGAAGCAAGGACCACGCAGTACCCAGGGCTGCTGTGAGCACCGAATGGGTGGTGTATATAAGGAGCCTGGCACAAGGGAAGCACTCAGTAAGCTGTCACCAGTATGAGGTGTCACTACAAAGCCCATGCCACTTTGATGCTAGGCTTCACCTCCACCTCTGGGGCGTAGCACAAAAACCTGCCCTGGGCAAAAACTGAACGCCATCCCCCTGAGAACAGGAACAAGACAAGGATGCCCAATATCACCACTCTTATTCAACACAGTACTGGAGGTTTTGGCCAGAGCAATTAAGACAAGAGAAAGGAATACAAGGAATCCAAATAGGGAGTGAAGAAGCGAAACTCTGGCTGTTTGTAGACGACATGATCTTATATATAGAAAACCCAAAAAACTCCATCGGAAAACTAATAGAAATAATTAACAACTACAGTAAAGTTGCAGGGTACAGAGTCAACTTACAAAAATCAGTTGCTTTTCTGTACTCTAACAACAAACTTACAGAAAGAGAACTCAAGAATACAATCCCATTTGCAATCCCAACTAAAAGAATAAAGTACCTAGGAATAAATTTAACCAAGGAGGTGAAGGACTTATACAATGAAAACTAAGACATTATTGAAAGAAATTGATAATGACATAAAGAGATAGAGAGAGATTCCCTGCTCATGGATTGGAGGAATAAACATAGTTAAAAGGTCCATACTACCTAAAGCAATCTACAGATTCAATGCAATCCCTATAAGAATCCCAAAGACATTCTTCACGGAAATAGAGCAAAGAATCCTAAAATTCATATGGGGCAACCAAAGACCCCGAATTGCTAAGGCAATCCTGAGAAAAAAGAACAAAGCTGGAGGTATCACAATCCCTGACTTGAAAATGTACTACAAAGCCATAGTGATCAAAACAGCATGGTACTGGTACAAAACAGGCACACAGATCAATGGAACAGAACTGAAAGCCCAGAAATAAAACCGCACATCTACGGACAGCTAATCTTCGACAAAGGTGCCAAGAACATACAATGGAGAAAGGAAAGTCTCTTCAACAAATGGTGTTGGGAAAACTGAACAGCCACATGCAACAGAATGAAAGTAGACCACTATCTCACACCATACACAAAAATAAACTCAAAATGGATCAAAGACTTGAAGATACATCGTGGAAGGGGGGGCCGGCCCCATGGCTGAGTGGTTAAGTTCACACGCTCTGCTTTGGTGGCCCAGGGTTTTGCTGGTTCGCACCCTGGGTGCAGACATGGCACCACTCATGAAGCCATGCTGAGGTGGCATCCCACATGCCACAACTAGAAGGACCTACAACTAAAAATACACAACTATGTACCAGGAGGCTTTGGGAGGAAAAAGGAAAAATAAAATCCAAAAAAAAACCACAAACTCATGGAAGATAATATTGGTAGTACACTCATTTTTTTTTTTTTTTTTTGAGGAAGATTAGCCCTGAGCTAACTACTGCCAATCCTCCTCTTTTTGCCGAGGAAGACTGGCCCTGAGCTAACATCCATGTCCATCTTCCTCTACTTTTATACGTGGGACGCCCACCACAGCATGGCTTTTGCCACGCAGTGCCATGTGCACACCTGGGGTCCAAACCAGTGAACCCCGGGCCACCGAAGCGGAACGTGCGCACTTAACCACTGCGCCACCAGGCCAGCCGCTGGTAGTACACTCTTTGACATCAAACTAAAAAGGATCTTTTCTAATACCATGTCTTCCCAGACAAGGGAAACAAAAGAAAAAATAAACAAGTGGGAGTTCATCAGACTAAAGAGCTTCTGCAAGGCAAAAGAAGTTAGAATCAAAAACAAAGAGACAACCTACCAATGAGGAGACAATATTTGCAAATCATATATCTGACAAGGGGTTAATCTCCATAATATATAAGGAAATCACACAACTTAACAATAAAAAAAAAAAACACCCAATCAAAAAATGGGCAGAGGATATGAACATTTTTCCAAAGAAGATATAGAGATGGCCAATAAACACATGAAAAGATGTTCAACATCACTAATCATCAGGGAAATGCAAATCAAAACTACACTAAGATACCACCTTATGCCTGTTTAAATGGCTATAATCACTAAGACAAAAAATAGCAAATGTTGGAGAGGGTGTGAAGAAAAGGGAACCCTCATACGCTGCTGGTGGGAATGCAAACTGGTGCAGCCACTATGGAAAACAGTACGGAGATTCCTCAGAAAACTAAAAATAGAACTACCATACAACCCAGCTATTCCACTACTGGGTATCTACCCAAACAACTTGAAATCAAGAATCCAAAGTAACATGCACCCCTATGTTCATGGCAGCATATTCACAATAGCCAAGACATGGAAACAATTCAGGTGCCCATTGACTGATGACTGGATAAAGAAGATGTGGTATATATACACAATGGAATACTACTCAGCCATAAAAAAGACAAATTCATCCCATTTGCAATAACATGGAAGGATCTGGAGGGAATTATGCTTAGTGAAATAAGCCAGACCAAGAAAGACACAAACCAGATGATTTCACTCATGTGGAATAGAAACAAACACATGGACCAAGAAAACAGTTCAGTGGTTACCAGGGGAAGGGGGTTGGGGGATGGGCACAGGGGGTGAAGGGGAGCACTTATGTTGTGACAATCAAGAAATAATGTACAACTGATAACTCATATTGATGTAAACTATTATGAACTCATTAAAAAATTAAAAATTTTAAAAATTTTTTAAAAAATAAAAAGTAAAAAAACCTGTCCTGGGACTCTTCACAGCTGCTCTCCCTGGCTCCTCAAGAGAAAGACACATGCGGTCGGCCCTGCCTGAGCTGCCTGGGTCCAGCATAGTGGCCGTCCCCACACCACAGTGACCGCAGGAAACTGTGTGCAGCCCAGCACCCAGCTGGTGCTCCTAGACCCCCGTGCACCCATGGGCCTGCAGGGGCCAGCCTTTGCACTGCACGTGCTCAGCTGAGTGAATAAGCTGAGAAGCGGAGATGAGACGGAGCCTGCTGCAGAAGGCAAGCAGGGGGTGACTGTCACTCACAGGCCCCGGGTCACTGTGCCACTGCCCTCGTCCTCGCCACACACAGGCCCAGGGAGACCAGGGCAGTCTGGGGAACAGAAAAGCAGAGACGTGGGCTCCCAGGGCAGGGTCTACTCATTTCCATCCACGACCTCGGATCCTGCCTTCACAATACTTGGGGGAGTGAACACGTCCTCCTCTCATTTATAAAAATTTAAATCAAAAAAAAAAATTCCAAAACCATCAGGGATTTATTTTTTAAAAATCATTTTCATCCTCACTTAAAATTAACCCAAGAGTCTGGATTTGCTACATTAGACAAATATGTAAGAGAGAAAATATATGATTCACACTAAATTTACTTTCTAAAATGTTTCCAGACAAAATAAAAGGCATTTAATAACATGAAAAGCGACCACTGAGAAACAAACAAGCAAAAGGAACTATGCATAGAGAAAAACCCACCCCTGCGGATCCAAGGGACTCGGCACAGTGAGAGCATGTCCACGTACAAATGGTAACCAGAGAAACCCACTCCCATGAAACACAACATAACGCCAGGGCACAGACCCTACGCCGCTCACAACACGGGAAACAGAATAAACAGGCACTCAGCCCAACAGCCCTGCGAAGACACAGGCAAGGAGATAAACACAGGCTTATAAAAACACAAGAGAGAGAGTGGGTCCGGGACAGCAGCTCAGAACTTCTGAGAAAAGAGGCAGGGCCTCCACTTGCTTCCTGGACCCGAGCAGACACGGGACACAGGAAGAACCCTCCCAGCTTAGTTCTAGTCCCTTGGGACTAAACGCACTTTGCAGAAGTTCCCATTGAGGGGCCAGCCCACCCATGAAGACTGACCGAGGTCGCCTGTCCTCGTGCAGCTGCAGGAGTCCACAGGGGCAGGTGCTGTGGGTTACCTGCCACTCTTCCCTGTCTGACATCCCTCCGGCACACTTCCCTGATCCTCTTCTTTTCCCGCAAACGGTTTTTCTGCAGCTGCTGTGACAAATTACCACAAACTTAGTGGCTTGAACACACACCTTTATTATCTTAAAGCTGCAGGTCAGAAGTCCGAGATGGGTCTCACCAAGCTAAAGTCTAAGTGTCGGCCAGCTGCACTTACTTCTGGAGGCTCTGGGGAGAATCCGTTTCCTGCTCATTCATGTTGTTGGCAGAATTCAGTTTCCTGTGGTTGTGGGATCAAGAACTCTGCTGACTGTAAGAAGAAGGCCATTCCTAGCTTCTAGAGGCCACCGAATTCCCTGGCTTGTGGCCCCTTCCTCCATCTTCCAAGTCGGCAATCGCAGATCAAACAGAGTCCAACTCCTATCGAATCTCTCTGACCACTTTTAAGAGCTCATGGCGTTCCACTGGGTCCACCAGATAATCCAGGACAATCTCCCCATCTCAAGGTCTGCTGATTAGCAACCCTAATTCCATCTGCAACCTTAATTCCCCTTCCCCATGGAACACGACATTCTACAGGTTCCAGGGATGAGGACATAGACATTTTGGGGGGCCATTTTTCTGCCTACCACACCCCATCCCTCAGGCCAGAACCCTGGTGATGACGTCAACCCCCAACATCCAGCCCATCATCAGTGAATCCTCCACGTTCCACCTACAACATGGGTCCTGACCCCGTCCACTCTCTTCCAATCCCACAGCCCTGCCCTTGTCTTCACCTCCCACTGTCCACTTCCGCTCTCACCCTCTCTTCAAGGAGAATAAATAGGATCATAGCCCTTCGGTGCTTTCTCACAGTGCTAAGGACCAAGACCCGAATCTCCTCCACGGCCTTCGAAGCCCTGCGTGCTCTAGGCCCTGCTCACCTCGCCGACCCTCCTCTCAAAGCTCTCCCCAGCCACTGGTCTCCTGGCCTCGCGCCTCCCCGGCCAGAAGTGCTCTCACACTTGCCTAGCCCACATCTCTGTGCGGTAGGCTGGCTCCTTCTCCACCTCCAGGTCTCAGTTTAGGTGTGACCTCCTCTGGGCCGACGTGTCCTTCTATTCATGTAGTGCCCTTTTATTCCCAGATTATCATCTTTGGGGCACTTCAGACTGTTTATGTATTTATGTGTTTACTGTCTCCCTCACCCCAGGGGCCTCTGAGGGCCACATTTCTTAGCTCAGCATTCAGCATGGTCCCCGGCACACAGACGATGCTGCTCAGTACTTTCTGAATGAATGAATTATCCCGCAACAATTCCTCTCCTTCAGCTGACAAGCGATGGTGGCCTGCTGAGACGACTGTTGAGTTAACGGTCTCATTTGCTCAGAGACTCCTCGTGGCTCTGACAGCTGTAAGCTGAAAGCTGTCAGAGCCACGACACCGTGAGCTATCTTCTGCTCCAGCTCTACCCCAAGCACCCACAGTCCTGCCATATTCAATTTGGGCCTTTCTTGCCGCCATCCCACTTACAAATGTCATCCTTCACATGCCCCAGCTGCCTGCATACCCTTCTGTCAGCAGAGCACGCTGCCAGGCAGAGCTGTGCTAAAATAGCAAGCATCGGATCCACACTGAAAGGCTGCCTGTGTTCTCACACCCATGTGCTATGATTTCGTCTTGGCATTTAGAGTTAAGTGTGGCAAGAATGCCAACTCCAACTGCCGAAAGCAACAGCCCCTTGGGAGCCAAGCGAGTCAATGGCCCAAGAAAGAACAGGCCCCAGGGGGCAGAGATTGAAGCTTTTGACTGAAGCTTTTCTGATTCTTATCTTCTAACTTCTGATTCTTATCAAGGACCATTATCTCTCACCTGGATATTCCCAACAGCCTCCTCACTGGCCTCCCTGCTTCTGCCCTTGCCCTCTCAGCCCACTCTACCTTCAATACAGCAGCCAGAGTAATCCTGCTCAACCGAAAGCAGACCATCCCCTCCACTGGCAAGAATCCTCCAAAGGCTCCTGCCCTCACTCAGAACAAAAGACTGAAAGGCTACGTCTTGACTGTGACCACGAGGCCCGCCACCTTTCAGACCTCGAGCCTGTGCCTCTCCCTGCCTCCCTCGGCTATAGTCACAGCCCCCTCACTCTCCTACTCAAACACACCAGCATCACTCCCACACCAGGGCCTTGACCACCCTCCTCCCAGCCACCCATGGGGCCTGTCCCCCCACCGCCTGCAAATCTTGCTCAAATGTCACCTCCTCTGTGAGGGGTTCTCTGGCCACCTTGTCACCGTGGAACCCTCCCCACTGCACCTGCCCCCGAACTATCTGCCCTACTCCTCTGATTTCTGTTCTGATGGCGGCTATCACCTTCTAAGAGTTAACTCCCTCAGTTCTGTTCGTCTTCTCTGACTCCCACTGCCCTCTGAGCTCTGTGAGCAGATCTGGGCCTGTTTTGACCACTGATGTATCTCTAGCACCTAGAACTGTTACTGGCACAGAGTAGGGGTTAAATAAATATTTGCTGAATGAATAAATTATCAATCTCAAAACTAGTCCAAGAGGCCTTCTCTCATTCTCATAAAGAGAATCGGGCCAGGCCAAACAAACATCCTCCTGCAGGTCCCAGCCACCTCGGTCTAACGCAGCTCCCTGGGTTACACTTGCAGAAACTGATGGCCCCAAAAGCGAAATGACCTGGTGAAGGTCACACAGAGATTAACAGAAGAAGGGTTAAACCCAGACCACCCAACTCCTAGTCAGAGGTCTTTCCATCGTACCACACATCCTGCCTCATCCAGAAAAGAAATTTCTAAGAAAGCATCAGCCAAGTGCACAACCTAAGGACCAAGAGCACGGAGAACAGAGGGGTCTACCAGCAAGACCACCTCTCACACAGTGTGAAACCGTGGCCAAATCACTTATTCCCCTCTAGGTGAATCCGGAAGGTAGTTGGGATCAACCACCACTCATCAGCGCTAACAATGCACAGGTGAGTAAGGCACAGTCCCAAAACTTGAAGAGCTCAGAGTCTAGTGAGGAAACCAAGCACACCCCAACACCACTGAGTCCAATGCATGAAAGGGTACTTTCCCCCAGACTGCATGAAAACAGCCAAGGCTTTACAAGGAGGTATGCCGGAGACAAATTTTGAAAATTTTTAAAAAATAAATAAATAAGCCAGGCAAAGATGGGAGGAAAGGGAGGGAAAGAACGTTCTAGTAAGCTATGAGAGCATGAAACGGACAGAGGCACCATACAGCATGTACACTAAGGAACCTACACGTCCGTCAGCACCACCAAGGGCAAAGTTCAAAGCAAAACAGGAGAGGGGCTAAAGAACTGAGCAGGACTCAGGTCACAGAGGGCCTCATGCATCATGTAAAAACACATGCTTCTCAGCCCGACACTTCCAGGGAAATGACCAAGGGGCTTTAAGCCAAGCCTACTTCAGCGAGTGTCACTCGGAGGACAAAGCGCAAGTGTCATAAACTCTGAAACACTAGGAGCCATAACACTTACAGAGCACCAAGAACAGTGCCCAGCAAACCGTAAGTGCTCAATGCCTACGAGCCACTATCGTCAGAAGGAGTACTATGAGGGGGTCATCATTAAGGAATTATTAAGGGTTGAGGTATGTATGATTCCTTAACAGTTCTGTATTTCATGGTGGGTGTATTTTTTCTCCTTTGAGTTTCTCTGGGTTGAGGTCCACACTCAAAAAAAAAGAGTTCAACAACCATGGGAGCCACCTGAAAGGGCTGGCAAAGCCACAGGACTCCGGCTGGGAGCTCTGAGAGCTCCGTGCTTGTCTAAGGATGTGGCTAGTAATCACCAAGGGATGTGATCTGCTGAGAGGACAAGGGGCATACCGTTGCAACTCCTCCTGTCCCCTGAAACAGCAGCATCGCCAGAGGCAAGGCCACAGAAGACAAGGGGCACACAGCAGCTGCACAGGCCTTTCTGGGGGGTCCAGCCTCTCCTCCTTGCCCAACTCTGTGCAGCGACAGCCTCTAGCAGTTCTCCAAGACTCCACTCCAATTCTGTAACTAAAGCGCAGGAGCTGCTCTCAAAAACGCCTAAGACACAGGGGCTGGCCCCGTGGCCCAGTGGTTAACGTCGCGCGCTCCGCTACAGGCGGCCCAGTGTTTCGTTGGTTCAAATCCTGGGTGCGGACATGGCACTGCTCATCAATCCACGCTGAGGCAGCGTCCCACATGCCACAACTAGAAGGACCCACAACAAAGAATATACAACTATGTACCGGGGGGCTTTGGGGAGAAAAAGGTAAAAAATAAAATCTTGAAAAAAAAAAAAAGCCTAAGACACAGAAAAGTATCAAAATCAAAGGAAAAAAGAAAGTCTGTCTTTGGTAATGCAGGAGCTCACAGAAGAAAGCCGAGGACTGTATTCGTTTCCTGTGGCCGCCATAACAAATTACCCCAAATGTAGTGGCTCAAACAACAGGAATTTATCCTCTCACAGCTCTGGAGGTTAGAAGTCCAAAATCAAGGTGTCTGCAGCCCACGCTCTTTCTCAAGTCTCTAGGGGAGGATCCGTCCTTGCCTCTTCCAGCATCTACTGGAATGTCAAGGAATCCCTGGCATTCCTTGGCTTGTAAATGCATTGCTCCAATCACTATCTCTATCTTCACCTGCCACCTTCCCTAGTCTACCTCTGTGTGTCCAAATTTCCCTCTTCTTATAAGGACACCAGTCAAGGGACCAGGGCTCATCCTAATCCAGCATGACCTCATTTTAACTTAATTACAGCTGCAAAGACCCTACCTCCAAATGTCACATTCACAGTTCTGGATAGACATGAATTTTGGAGGGACACTATTGAATCCAATACAAGGACAAATTACCAAAAGACACAGTCATCAATCCAAAGGTTCGTTCACCGTTATAACTACACACAGGAGCTCGATGATTCTTATAGCTCAGTTCAATTAAAAATTTGAACTGAGGAGAAACCAAAACCTCAAGACCAAAAAGCAACACACAAAATTTCTACTGCCACGTGGCTCCTTCTCCCTGGAGTCTATGTTCTAGAGCATTTGTCATTTGTCCCTGTTGCTACGAGGATGTCCTATCCTCCACCATTCCAGAATTTTCACATTATCTTGGACCCTGACGTTGGTTTTCAGGAAAGCTCTTATTGTCCGTCACTCAAGCACAGTAAAGTAAAATAGGGTCTCCGGTCACCTTTAGTGACCCCCTCCAAAGGCAGTGTGTCTGAGCAGTCAGTCACCAACTTCTGCTAACTACCAGATCACTCTTAAAATTAAACATTTCTGACTGGACACAGTGATTTGGAAGTTTGCAATTCTATCACTCAAACAATAGTGTTGCTAGGCAACAGTTAAGAATAAGCTGTGCTTATGAATGATTCTACTTGGAACTATTTTAATATCACGACTTTTAATTTTCAGTATCTCAGACTTTAGTTTCCAAAGAGAAGTGACTGTGTTCAAAAATTCTGAAGTTTATCCCTAATCTATTTTCACCAGCAGCTGATTTTATCCTAGATATTTTCCACGAAATGTCTCTACATTTCCTAGGGCCCTGGCGCGGGCTGGACAATACACCAAACAGATGAGGACTTTGGAGCCATACAGCTCCCAGGGTGCAGCCGGGTCATTGCAGGCACTGTATTTAAAAAAAAAAAAATTAATTTGCTTCCTGCTGCTAACTCAAGACAGGAGTCAGTTCTGAGGCCAGAAAGTGGGAACATAGAAATTCACTGGGAGCCTCAAATCCTCTTCCTTGCTTAAGGCAAAAGCAGCAGCCGACAAGAGACAGAAGGCCAATCAAGCGGGTCAAAACCACCACGCCCCCTGCAGAAACCGATCCTCCGGCAGGCGCTGCCCGCCCTGGCCAGTTTCCTGACTCCACCAAACTCCGCACCGCGACCCGAGTCAGTTCCTTCAGCCTCCCCAGGGAGCCGCGGAGTTTCGCAGAAGACAGCCTGCGGTTTCAGGACAACTCGCCGGCCGCCCCTCCCCCTCCTTTTTAGCCTCGCTCCTACGCGCAGCCACTGTCACCTCCCAGAGCCCACGCTCCGGCTCCCAACCCCTCAGTGCCCCTCACACCCCTGAGCGGTGACTCCAGAGCCCAGGTTACCCCTCCCCAGTCCCCGACTTCACCCGCAGCCCTGAGCACCGAAGTGCCCGCTTGACCTCTGACCTCTGACCCCGACCAGTCACACCCACCTGCCCGGGACCTTGCTGTTGCTGCGCTTCCAGAACTGCTTCCTGGCCCCGTCGCTGGCCATGACGCCTCCTCATCCCTCAGACCCACGGCTCCGACACCCCAAGTGCAGCCGGCTCGCCCCGGCGGCCCTTTCCTGTACCCCAGGTTGCCCCTCAGAGGTCCCGGGACTTCGGCGCGTAGAGCCTAGAAGCTCTTCCGCCTCCCTCCGGAAGTTATGCCTCCGCACGCCCGGAAGTCCCTCCTCCGTGCCAGGCGTGCGTGACGCACAGTGCAGGCGCCGGACGGCATTAAGGAGCGACGCTGGGGTGGTGCGGCGAAAGACGTTCGACGGTTGGGTGTCGTGCTCCGTACGCTTTTGAGTGCTCGGGGCTGGGCGATGGCTGCAGACCGCGTGTCCAGCTCCGGTTTCTGTCGCTGGGCGAAGCGGCCCGGCAGGGGTCCTGACCGGAGGACAGGGCAACGCGGACACCGGAAAGCACCCCGCCTGGGCGGCGGTCGAGACTGTGTCGCGGCACGTGGTAGGGACCGGGGAATACCAGTGGATGACATACCCTGCAGTAAGGTGAGCGCCGTGACTCAAGGGACACGGGGCGTGTGAGAGGGCAAAGACGGCGGGGTGAGGCCAGGGTCAGCTGCACAGGAGATGGCACCGGAGGTGTGGGGATTGCCTTGGCTTGAGCGCTGACCACAGGCGGCCGTCGCTTGGGACGTGCGTGTCATGTCCTGTGCGTGTAAAATACACTCAGGAATTGAAAGGTTTAGTACGAAATAAGGAATGAAGATGTTAATGCTTTTTAATATTGACTACATGGAATATTTTGGATATATTGGGTTCAATAAAATATATTGCTAAAGTTATTTTCACACTCCTTTTAAATTTTTTTTAACGTGGCTACCGAAATATGTAGAATTACATATGTGGTTTGCTTTATAACTCTGTTGTCCGTTTACCAAAGACTGACGTCAGGGACTGGCATTTCAGACTGAATCTCCAATATAACTTTGGGAGCTCCTTGACACACCTCTGCAAATTCTCTTTGGAAACAAAAGTTTGATTATATTCTTTGACCAAAGTTTTTCCATGCCTCCTCACTTACTGGTGATAAGTAAATTGACTTAGTACTTGCTGTATGCAACGTATTGCACTAGGTACTTTGTATGCATCATCTCCATTGAATGCCAGCCATCCTTCAGTAAAGACTACCCCCTTCTCGCAGAGCAGAGTAAGTGGCTCTCAGCTCTCATGACATTGGGTTTCAGATCCTCCCTTATAACAGCAGGGCTTTCCACAGCTCCTTGTACCCACCCTGCAACGTCTACCCGACTGCATTTTGATTATATCTGTCTTCACACATGGATTGTAAGATACTGCAGTTGGGATCCGTGTCTTCTGCCTCCACACCTGACAAAGTAAGCTCTCTATAATTTGTTAAATGGGTGACAAACATAGCAACTCTCCAGGGATCTGCTATTGTCACAGGAAATCTCCCCTGCAATCTCAAAGGATATTTGGTGATCCTTGGTGACTGGCACAACCTCAGTAGATCTTCAGGGCTCCTTTGCTGCATAGCCTTATGAACTCTCCTGGAATCCTGTCCTTACATGACCTTAGGGAATCTCCAGAGGTCTCTGGATAAAGCCTTAGTGGATCCTTAGGGACCCCTTCCTCACATATCCTCAGGAGGTCTCCTGGGATCCTCTCCTAGGTCCCAGGGATCTCTTCCGATATACAGCCCCAAGGCATCCCCAGAGATCCTCCTCAGAGATGCGTTCCTAACAGCCTCAGGGATTCCCTACAGCCGGCAATGGGGATTTTGGGGGTTCTCCCCAGCTCAGTCTGGCTTATTGCAAGCATCAGTGACTGAGGTGACAGCAGGACTAAGATGATGGATATAGAAAGAATTTACAAAGGAAAAATTGACAACAGTTAGTGCCTGGTTGGCTGTGATTATAACATCATAGGTTTGGTTGCTCCCTATAATGTACTATCTACCGTCTCTTAGGGGACAGAGTGAGACTGAGACTAAGATTGATTTGAAGGCTTCAAGACTGGCCAAGCAAAGGATTACTAGTACCACTGAGAGAAGCATGAAATCGAAGAGTGAGCCTGTTTGCAGCCTAGGTTTATGATTGGTTTAGGACATACTGGGTTTGAGGTGAGACGTGTGAAGCCTCAGCCAACCACTAAGTTAGAAGACATATTAGTCTCTAGATGAGGACATGGGGTCAGACAGGGAGACAGACCAGGGCGAAGTCACAAACCGGTGGTTAGGAATAGGTCAGTGTCATAGGCAACTTAATCCAAAAAGAAAGCCAAGATGGAGACAGTCTCCAGAAATGGATTTTGCCCAGGGGGTTGGTAGAGATGGGATGTGGAAGGAGTGTCTAGTAGAAAGCCGGGCGTGAAAGCCAACATACTGCTGACATAGAGTCAGAATGGGACCTGCCCAGGAATGAAACAGGAGAGATGCATGAACACGAGTGGAGCCTTTTTTATTCATTTGTGCAACAAATAATTACTGAGCTGCAAACGTTGAGGTGTGCCTTCACTAAGATTTAAGCTGATAGAAATTAAAACCAAGGACGTACCATTTCACATTTAACAGATGAGCAAAAAAATTTGTCAGTGCCAAAATTGGCAAGGATGTGGATTTGTGAGCAGTGCAGAACTCTGATTCACTGCTGATGGGAGTGTAAACTGATTCAATAACTTTGGACTGCCATTTAGCAGTTTCTAGTAGTTAAAGATGCATACACCCAACAACCCAACAATTCCACCCTAGAGCAACTTGCCTGTGTGCAAAGACAGGAATGTTCTTTGCAACATTGATCCTAGTCAGAGGAGGAAGTGATTAAATGTCATCTACCAGAGAAGTGGTAAATTACACATAATTATCCAATAGAATGCTGTAGGGTAACGAATAAATTAGTTACATATATCAACATAAATGAATTTCACTCTGTTGAGTAAAATAAAGTTGAATATGAATACACATGATATGATACCATGTAATTCCTTTCTTTTAAGTAAAAGAATGCTAAAAGCTGAATTCAGGAGAGCAGTTTGCCTCTGGGTGTTGTAGGTGGGGACTTTGATCAGTCAGGAATTCACAGGGCTTCAGTTGTATTGTTCTGCTTTATTTATTAAGGCAGATGGAGTGTATTCATGTGTTTGTTATATTTTTTGTGACTCTGTATGTGTATAAAATGATTTATAATACATAAAAGTATAATTTTGCAGCTCTTAACTCTGTTATACAGTGAGCTACTTCAAACTCTTGTTGGAAAAGGCAAATAGAAATGATGTGACAATGAGTGAAGAGTGTTCACTGAGAGGCTTGGAGGAGTCAGGACAACTGATAAGATTTGTGAGTGTTGTTGAAGGCTGAGTAGGTGTGACAGGACAAATGCAAGGAGTCTGTCCAGGTAGAAGGAACATCATTGCTGCAGCAAGGAGACAAGAGAAAAACCGAGTGCTGGGTGACAGGTGAGTACTTAGCATGGCTAGATTTGTGATGCAGGTTGGGTTCCCTGGGATACGGAGGGTGAGACAGATACTTGCGTGCAGATGGCTTATTGGGGAAGAGAGGCTGAACTGTGATGGGCTGCGATGGAGCATCAGGCTAACCCAAGGCTTGGCCCTCCCACGTCTTGAATTGAGACAAACAGGTGGAGCCCCTATACTGCTGCATAGACCACGGGTGAATGTGGGCTGACCCCTACGAGGGGCACATAATCTTGGGAGAGGAAGTGCCCTTCAGCCGAGGGCAGTTCCCAAGGAGGGACAGGTCTCTGAGCCATCAGCAGCCAGCACTCCCTGCACCTGAGGGAAATGAGAGCCTTGGTCCCCACGGGGGAATCTGGGCAGCATGCTGCAGCAGCTACTGCAGTCCCCCCTTTGCATCACTCAGGTCCACTGGCTTCACAGTCCACCCATCTGGGAAGACCAGCGCCAGGATTCTGGTTGGTCGCTTTTCTGGGGAAGCTTACAAGAGGAAGGTTGACGTGATCTTAGAGCCGCAGCGTTATTCCCATCGTAGACTCCCTCCCTCCGGTCGCACCATTATGCTGCTGTTCTGGGTGAGTTACCTGGTCGAGTGACCCAGACTCTCATCCTAGAAGCTTCAGAGCCCCTGGTCATGTGCCCTTCTCAGGCCATGGCTGCTCTCCTCGTCCACATACCGTTGAAATGGGGCAGAGACACACCAGTGGTTCTAGTAGGTGCCGAAAGTGTTCTCCCCATCCCGGCTCTGCGGTGGCCTCCCTGCCTCCTCTGGTGGCCCAGGGGAGGCTCCTTTCCTTGCCTGTTTGTCTCTTGGCACAAGGAGCCTTCAGGAAGCAGCATAGCTGAAAGTTTAGTGAGCCTCTTCCTGGAAGTGTTCCCCCTCTGGGATGCCGACCTCTGGAAGAGGCCAGAACTGTGAAGACAGGAAACAAACTCCCCTGAGAGTGATGACAAGCAGGGCCACTCCTGTTCCCACCCCTTGCTTCCCACACCCTGTCTTTACTCAGAGTAGACACAGCACCATGCAAGCTATACACTGCATCCTGAGGGATGGCACCCTTCCATCAGAGGTTGTCAACTCTGAGCTGAAAGCAGTTTCATTCTGTTGGGCTGGCAGCTCCTGGGTGGTGTGGTATATGTTACAGGACCAGCAGCTCCAGGGGCACGGGCTCACTTCCTCCACTTCCTTTACTGTAAAGTGGCTCCCTCAGGCCAAGGCAAGGCTCTCCTGTGGATGGATCGAACTCTGAAACCGACACAAACAACACATGTCAGTGATTCACTGGCTCCTATCACTTCCATTCACATCCCACATGACCACATGTGAAGGATGCTGGGAAGTATAGCCTTTGGCTGGGCATCCGTACTTCCCTGAGTACTGTTAAAGAAGAATGGAGGGATAGATGTTGGTGGACAACAGCAGTTTCTGAGAGGGATACCTGGGGCAAGGGGGTCCTAAGTGTCACCTGGAACTCAGAAAGTGGAGCCTCCCTGCCCGCCTCCCAGCTCCCGTTCCACCTCTCCCCACACCTCTGCGTAGTGCACAGGCCTCATCTTAATGCGGCATTCTCCTCCTCCTGCCCAAACCCTCCAGGAATCCCCATCGCCCTCTGCGGAGAGCTCAAGCTCCTCAGCTTGCTGCAAAAGGACCTTTGTGTGTGAGCCTGTCTGCCTTCTCTCCCCTCTTTCCGCTCACTAATCTCACTTTCCAGCCAAACCAAACATCAGGGTGGAAAAGGCCCCAGCTGCCTCTGTGGACAGGAGACAGGAACAAAAATGACAACACTGACAGGAGGAAGGAAGAGGGACATGCGTGCTGAGCAAGTGCCCAGCCCCCGTGCACTGCAGGTCACCCCTTCAGTCACCCCCAGTGCTTAGGCTTATGCACCCACCGTGTGCCGTCCCCCCTCCCTCCCCTCCGCCCTTCACCTTCTCAGATGACCCTCCTGCGTGGAATGCCCCACCCCCTCCCACAGGGAGCCAGCCAAGGTCTCATTCAGACTGAAGCCAGTGCATCTGGGTGATGTGGTACTCTCTGTTGGGGTCAGATGTAGCCTCTCATGGTCAGATGACCTCAAATGAGTTATCCACTTAGCATTAAAAACTCCTGCTTTAAAGAGGGAAAGGAAACAGATCCCAGTACAGAATGACCCATAGCATATGCTGTGTTCTGCTGGACCAGAGGAGAGCGAGAAGATGCCCTCCTGGTCCCTTCGTCAGCACACACCACTCTGGTCCATGGAGGATGTCCTTTGTCCCTGTCCTCCACTGCCACTTCTGAGACGGGACTGGGGAGGATGTCCTTTCTGGAAGCTGCAGGACTTTAGCAGCTCAATTCTGATGCATGAGGCTGGAGGTCTGGGAGTCATCCTGGGGGCTAAGCTGTTGTCACCCAGTTCTGGGATTTCTTTAGCAATACAGCTACCCTGAAATCTTAGTAAGCTACAGTCAGTTTGTCTCTGCTCAAGTCCGGGGCCTAGGAGCCAGAGTCAAAAACCTTACCTGGTGGGTAGAATTTAAACTAGAAATGTCTGTCTCCTGGAGTAGGGCACGGTATTCTGCCTGATCATCCCCGTCTGTCCTTAGTCCTTAGTCCGATGGTCTCTCCTGGGAGAACATCGCAAACAATAGCCTCGGGGTGCGATACCAGTTATGTGCTTCCTGCTGCAGACTGCATCCCAGCTGTGCCACAGAAAGAGGGCATGTCCCCTTTGTTGGGAGTCATGCGTCTGGGAGGTGCTTGAGACAAGCCTGGGACAGGGGCTGGGCTGGGAATCCGCCTGGCTCCCACTCCAGGCTTCTTTCCTGCTACGTCACCGGCCTACCTGCTGAGCTTTCATAGCCTTAGCTTGGGGGAAGGCTCTGTTCTCTTTGCCTCTGCCAAGTACCAGACTTGGATTTTCAGCCATCTTGGAGGGGCAGAAAAGGCTCTCTCTGAGCCAAGCTGTATTTTTCTGACGTCTCTGTATTCATGTGGGCCAATTTCAGGCTTATGGTGTCTCAGTGTCCCTCACAGGACCTTGCTTAGTGAGCTGCCACAGCTGCACACTCTGGAGGCTCCCTTTGTCTTTCCTGGGGCTGCAGTCTCAACAGGCAGGCACCTAGCAGCACCCGTCAGGAAAGAGGTGGCAGTTACATTTGTATCAGTCTCCCAGTGCTACTGTAGCAAATTACCCCAAACTCAGTGGTCAGAAACAACACAAGTTTTTCTCTGACAGTTCTAAAGGCTAGAAGTTCAAAGTCAGCTTCACTGGACTAAAGTCAAGGTGTGGGCAGGGATGTGATCCTTCCAGAAGCTTCAGGGGAGAATCTGCTTCCTTGCCTTTCCAACTTCTAGCAGCCACCCACATTCTTGGCCTGCAGCCCCTTCCTCCATCTTGAAAGTGCATCACTCCAACCTCTGCCTCTGTCATCACATCATCTTGTCCTCTCACCCTGACTCCTCCCGGATCCTTCCTACAAGGACCAGGTAATCCAGGATAATCTTCCTATCTCAGGGCCCCTAACTCAGTCACACCTGTAAGCTCCCATTTGGCATATAAGGTAACAATCCCAGTTTCCAGGGAGTAAGTAGAACGTGGAGATCTTTGGGGGCCATTATTCAGCCAACCACAATAATTCGTGATATAGCAAAGGTTCCCAATTTCCCCCATGAGAAACCGGGGTCCTCCCTGCCCCCTTCCCTCACTCAATCCAGCTATTTCTAGAGTTTAGAGTCTGCCCCTAACAACATCCCATTTCCTGGTACTAAATTCTGCACAAGTTAGGATGTTGGTCTTGGTTTGTGTAGCTGAACAAGTCCAGGGGTGACTGCGAGTTTGGATACAGGCAGACAACTGCTAGACAATGACCCGAGGTGACTGGATGCCTCTGTTGGCCCACTTGGATCATGTGCCTGCCTCCGAACCAACCACTGTGGCCAGGAAATGCCACACCACATGGGCACTGAGCATGCCCCTTTGTGCTGGGCATGGAATTCGATTCTTCCAATTCTGTGGTTGCTACCCAGCAAAGGAGGGATGGCATGGACACTGGGGAGGAACCCCAATGTCCACTACATCGCCAAGGGCAGGAGCCACGCCAAGAAAAACTCATAGGTTTGACGACCTAAAATGTTAGCATGTTTGTCCATTTTTTTTTAATTCGACAAAATAATATGTACCCTGCCTCACACAAGATTAGTATATGGAGATCTTGTAAATAAGGCAGTAAAAGACCCAACAGGAAACAGTCTGATTTTTTAAACTAAGTATATATATGAAATGTTTGATTAAATAGATCAAAAGACATTCAAAGAAGAAATACAACTGGTAAATGAGCAAATAAAAATGGGACTTTACTAGCAATTTTTTGGAATAGAAAGTAAATGAAATACTACTTATCCATAGAACAGCAAAGATGAGAAAGGATGATGTTGGTGACGGTGCCAGGAAACAGACACAGTGACAGGAGAATGTGAACTGGCGTCGTGTTTGTGAAGTGTGGTTGATGGGGTGGATCACAAGCCCTGTGCACACGCCTACACTCCAGCCTCCAGTTTCTCTCCCAGGAATTATCCTAAGGAAATACTGGGCAAATGAACAAAGATGCACATCCACGGGTGCTCTCTCTGACATTACTGAGAAGGGTAAAGGTTGGAAACAGTCTAAATGTCCAACTATAAAGGAAATGGGTTAAATGAACTTTGGGAGAAGCAATGTAACACAACACAACCCTTGAAAATAACATCGATCTTTATTGTTTTCTAACAAAGAAGTTGATCACAGTACATTGTTTAGTGGAAAAGACAGGTGACAGCTTTTGTTGGAAAAAGTTTACTTATTGTCAACAATCCAGAAATAGCAAAATTAAAGCCACCAAATCAGTAAATAGTATTTAGTAAGAGTTTATTGGGCATATAAGAACAGTTCCTGGGGCCAGCCCGGTGGCGCAGCAGTTAAGTTCTCACGTTCCGCTGCTCAGCGGCCCGGGGTTCACTGGTTTGGATCCCGTGTACGGACATGGCACCACTTGGCAAAAGCCGTGCTTTGGTAGGTGTCCCACATATAAAGTAGAGGAAGATGGGCATGGATGTTAGCTCAGGGCCAGTCTTCCTCGGCAAAAAGAGGAGGATTGGCAGTAGTTAGCTCAGGGCTAAATCTCCCTCAAAACAAAAAGAAAGAAAAGAATAGTTCCTGTACTGGGAGCTTCCAAACTCAAAGACGGATGTGAAGCTCAGGGGCGTGAAGTCACAGGACGGCTTATACAGTGGGAACGAGGAAGTCCTTAACCTTTACAATAATTGTTACTCAACAATGAAGGTCCCCACATGGCGGGGGAATTGGTTGGAAGTGATTATCTCATACCATTGTTAGGAAGATGACTTAAGTTTCTTTTCTGATTGTCAGAGGCATTTACAAGAAATAACCTGAGTTTTCACTTAGGTTCATGAAATAAACTAGATTTAGTTTTTCTTCCATGGCTTAAATGGTTTAGTCTGCTCAAGGAATTCTCAAGTCTCTGTTCTGTATTTAATTTTAACAATATAGAACTAGAAGAAAAATTCTAGAAGGCCATGGCATCAGTTAAGATGTTCCCAGATGAAGAAATCATATAATTCAACTGATTTAAACAATAAAGGAGATTTATTGGCTCAGTGCCTGAAAAGTCCAAGTATGAGAAAGGCTTTTTTTTTTGCTTCTCCCTAAAGCCCCCCAGTACCTAGTTTTATATTCTAGCTGTAGTTGAGCTATGTGGGCCGCCACCTCAGCATGGCTTGATGAGTGGTGCCATGGCCATGCCTGGGATCCGAACCCGTGAAACCCTGGGCCGCTGAAGCAAAAGATGTGAACTTAACCACTCGGCCATGGGGCCGGCCCCGAGAAGGGCCTTTGACATCGTTCAGTCCAGGCTGGAGATCTATTTCTCCGCGTGGTTCTTGATTCTCTCCCCTTTTGCATGGAGACTTGGTTTCCCTCCTAGTCACAGCATGGCCGCCAGCAGCCTCCAGGGCCGCAGTCTTCCTTGTTCACACCCAGGGGAGTGAGAGTTTTGCTTCCCAGAGCTTCACTCTGATGGGGCCGTCCCTGAACCAGTCGCAGTGGCCAGGAAGTGCCCCGCACTGCCTGCTTTAGACCTAGATGGCTCGCTCTCCCTAGAGCACTTTGTGAAGGAGGGGAGCCTTGCTCTGCTTGGCTGAGGCCAGTTGGGGCCCACCCCCGGAGCAGGGCATGGGGTCAGCCCCTCCCAGACTCCATGACCTCTGCAACATGGGGTGTGGGTGAGATGGGTGACCGTATTGAAGTCCACCACCGGAAGGCGCCACAAAGCTGACAGTAGTTGCCTCTGGGTGGAGGGAGGGCAGCAGGTTATTTGTTGGGGAGATTTCCTATGTTAAGAGACTCAGACATACCTCTCTAAGCTCACCTTCCACTGAATTAGCTGACCAACTTTACTCCAATAAATTCCCTCCTCGCTGATTCCAGCCACACCTCTTACGAACTTCAGTGAAGTTTCATAGTTTCTTCCCACGAGTCTTTCCCATTCCTTGCTAGCTTTCTTCCTGTGTGTCTTATGTAAGTGAGATTTGCATATTTTTGCTCATACCCAGCCCTCACCCCCATGAGATAATCTCTTTTTAGCTCTGATAGTTTGTCATTTTTTTTTCTTATTAAAAAAGGTTAAATTTGTTTAATGTAAAGAGAAGTAAGAAGACTGAGATGGTGGATCATGGAGGGCCTTGCCTCATAAATCAGAGCAGGAGTTACCGGTGGACTTGAGTGATGAGGGTGACATGAGCAGCCAGGTGACTTAGAGAGGGCCCTCTGACAGCGGAAGGCCCCCTGAGACTGCCTGCCCAGCAACTGTACCCCTTCTCCTTGGGCCCCCTCATCCCCACCCACAAGTAACTTATGGGTTGCCATGTTCTCTCAAGACTCTGCCCCGTGACCGCAGTCATCCCAAGCGGCAGAAGGTGTCTGGCCTCATCGGGGTTGATGATTTTCTTCCCCAGGATGGCTTCAGGATGAGACTGTGGGCAGCAGGTGGAAAAACAGAAAAATAGCAACGATGGCTTTCAAGACCCTGGGTCCAGTTGTTCCTGAGCCCAGCTGTCCCCCCTCCACTGCACGGAGTCCACCACTCTCAAGGCAGTGGCCTGGGGACAGTGACATTCTGGACAGGAGGAGAGCCTGAGATCAATGCTGGACATCCTCAGAGGGGCTCCGCTGTGAGACAGGACATGTGAGAACTGCTCTCTGAACCAGTGGCCACAGGTGGTTCGTTGGGTATGGGGAAAAAGAGAGTCCAATTTCCCTTTACGTCTATCTTTTAGCTAGACAAGGGAAGAAATTAGATTTTGCCAAAATTTAGTATGTGAGTATTGATAGAGGTACATGGTGTGATTTGTAAATAAGTATCCACATATTAGGATTCATGTCCAAGATTTCTTTTACTGATAGGCATGGAAAATAAAGAAGACCCTGGTGTAAAGTACTCTTTATTTCTACTCAGTATTTTATCTCCAGGCGTAAGTATTGTCCCCTATTTCTGCTAAACTGCAGAATGCCGCCTCTGCCGTCTCGCCTGGCCTGCTGTCCGGCTCTGCTCATGCAGGTTGTTCCAGCAAATGGCCATGTCCACACTTTAGACCTAGAGCTACTCACTGTCTCTGAAAAGGTACAGTCTGGCAGGCCATTCCCAAAACCCGGTCTGCGCCCAGTCTCGCCCCATGTGGCTGCTCAGAACAGGTTTGCTGGATTGTATTCACGGTTACAAAGTTTTCCTCAATGCCCAAGGTACTATTTGTGAAGGCTGGCGTCCTGCGTTGTGCTCCTCCATCTCAACCTTGAGGAGGGCAGAAGCTGGAAGACGCAGAGGGGCTGATAGATGCTTCCTCCTGGTTCCGAGGGTGGGCTGGGGTGAACGTTACACTCCAGAAGCTTTGATCCCATCAGGTACACGGGGAGGAAAGGCAGCCGGAAGCCCAGGGACTGTGACTGCCAGAGCTGAGAGGAGAAGCACCCAGACAGGCACAGAACACACTCTCTTCAGTGCTCAGCACACAACAAGACTCCCAAGCGTTACTTGCTCTTTACAGCCCAGTTGCTCAGTGAACTGAACAAAAATTAAAGCCCGGAATCTGGTCTTTGTCTGCCCCGCTCCGTGACTATAGCAACAAGGCCCAAGGCAGGTGGATGCACCCTGGGGTCTGCACTGGCCACTCCTTGTCATCCTCCCTCTTCCTGGATGACCTGCACGTGTGACTGGTTCTGCCAAAGGAGGACAGTGGCAGCCCAACCAGGTCTCCCTGGGACATGGCAGGGGAGCAGGGACAAGCCTTTCTGGGGGAGTTAGGCTCCTAGGAATGTATCTTAAGGCAGCCCCTGCCCAAGGGACCAGGCCCCAGGGCACAGCCACTGTGAGGCGACCCTGTGGCACCATCCAAGGGACTTCCGCCATGCCTCAGCCCCTCCATCACTGGGTGACCCAGGGCAGGGCTGGGCAGGGTGCAGGCTGGGCCTACAGTAGAGAAGAGCATTGGGACAGCCTCTGTGCGGGCACTCCCCTGGCCACCTGCGAGAGCGGACTCAGTCCTTCCCTGCTCTCTCCTTGCTTCCCGCGTCCTTCTCCCTGCACACGTGGTCCCCAGGTCTCCTCGCCCCCAGCCCACATGGATTTCCACGACTCTGGATCCTTCCCAGATACCAGGAGGCTCTGCCCGGAAGCTACTTCCCTCACTGCAGCATCGGCTAGTCATCTCTAGATGGCGCAGGGTGAAGCAGGGCCGCCCGCATGCCAGAAATAAGCCTCGTCCAGACTTAATAAACACGTAAGGTGGCTTGGAGTGGTGCCTGGTCAGTAGGAACGCATCCATGTTTGAAATGAGATGCCTGGAGAGAGTTCCAGGAGCCCTGTGGGAGCCGGGCCTCAGGATGCCTGCACGGAAGCCCTCCAGGTCTTTCTAGGTCCAGCAGCTTGCTCTTTGCCCCTGGCATGGATGCAGTGGGGAGCCCACGACTAGACACCCCCAGCCCTGAACATCAACAAGTCCTGGCCAGCAGGGGCAGAAGCCCAGGCCAGCCAAGGAGGCAGAGAGGGGGTCTCCGGCAGGGGTCCATGATACCAGGCACCCTTCCAAACACGGAGCTGCCAGCACCCACTGGGCTCCCAATGCTGTCTTTGACAACTCCTCTGTGTCGCTCCTGGCTTGTATTCAAATTCCTCCAGCAGGCTGCGTCTGCCCACCAGCTCCTCACTCTTGTCCCCACCACTCTAGCTATGAGGGTTTCCTGTAGGTGACAACCTCCTACCCCACCTGTAGGCCACTTTGTCAGTAGAAGCAGGCTGGGCATTCAGAACATGCTTGTCAAGTGAACTGGATAGAAGTGACCAGAAGGAAATGGAGACATGGAGAGCTAGGGCCACCCTGTCCCCACGCGAGAGGCCTGGAACCCTTTCACCCCTTCCTGGACTTTGCCCAAGCTCTGCTGCCCAGAGGGCGACTGGCAGTGGTGGGATTTACTATCAGGGGACCTCTTGCTCCCAACTGGGCCACGTGGTTTATAAATACCAGCGGCCTGTCTGGAAGTGTCTCCACTTGGGAAGGTCCAGGGCCCAAACGTATTATTCCCCGTGCAGGATATGGAAGGAAGGGAGGGGTGAAGTGGCCTGAGCAGGTTCCAGCCCATCTCTGGGCCTCGCCTTCCCCGTCTGTAAGATGGGGTCATAATCCCATCCTGCCTGCCTCACAGGGTTCTTCTAAAGATCAAGGGAGCAGGAGGGGAGAAGGGGAGAGGTGGGGAGAGAGGAAAAGAGGAAGGAGGGAGGGAGACTGAAGAGGGCTTTCTCTCATTTCAACCCTCAGTGAGCTGCTGACACCCGACGGAGGGCTACCCTCGTGGGCTCCCAGCCCAGTTCACTCCAGGTGCTGTCAGACCTGGCTGTGGCCCAGCTGTGGCCCCATGTCCCAGCATCCGTGGCTCTCGGGCTCCAGGCCAAGGCCAGGGGCACTGAGCACCTGTTGACCTGGCCGAGTGCGTGCCGCGCCCTCCCTGACCTGTATTCCTCCTTTCCTCGGTCACTCCTGTCAGCCATTGACCCCCGAAACTCCTCTCCATGGCTGCCTGCTTTGGCCACACCCAGCGTCCCACCAACTGGCCAGGCGTCCTTCTGTGGCTTCGGGAGCTGAAATGAGCCTGAGTCATCACACCCACAAGCCAGCCAGGGTGCACGGACATGGGGCTTGGGGACTGTTGGGGACTGTTGGAGACTGAAGGGTTCAGGGAAATCGGAAAGAGGAACTGGGCTCTGTTTCCCCAGCACAGGACGATGTCTGAGCCTCCCATGAGCTCGCCACCCAGGGAGGCAGTGCTGGTCTCCTGGAGCCCTGCCCCCAGGGCCCTAGCACCTCACTTGCTGGATGCCCAGAGGCACCCAGAATTCCCTCGGCTCCTCTCCCCTCATCTCCCATGCATCTCCCTGAATCATGGGCATTGTATCGCCCACTGTAAACCTGGGAACAACACCAGGTGCAGCCAGAGAGCTGGCCAGGGTCAGGTGGCCCCAACTCTGTGTGACCTGCGCAGGGCCCAGCCCCTCTCTGGGCCTCACCTTCCCCACCTGGAAATGGGGTGATAACCACCATCCCGTGTACCTCACAGGGTTCTTCTAAAGATCGAATGAGGCAATACACAGGAAATTGCTTTGATGAGATGCCAGCCTGCACTAATGTCAGGGGCTGTCATTTTAATTAGTTTGGAGGCCAGGGTTACTCTGCACTCAACTCTGCTAATTTCTCCTCCCCCAAGAGGAACCTGGGCCTGCCTCGGGTTGGGACCCCCAGCACACAGAGATGCTCCATGAATACTTGAGAAATCAGTCTACTCTCCACTGGAGCCCCTCCCTCTTCTCAATAGAACACACAGCACAGACCAGCGGTCCTCTCTGGCTACAACCAGGCCTGCAGCTCACCCGGAATTCCTGCCCCAGCTATGGGGGGACTGCCAGCCCTGACTTGGAGGCCGTTTGCCCCCGGTGCAGAGATGGCAGCCTGCAAAGAAGCATCCTTTAAATGTCTTCCTACGGGTCTGAGTCCACACTGTGACTCATGGGCGTGCTAGCATCAGCCTGTTTCCTCACTGGGAGAGGAGGATAACGAGGGTGAATTCTTTTCTGCAGGAGTTTCAGCAGGAGACAAAGCAAGCTCTGTGTACCTGGAGACTGAGCCCTTCCCCCTTGCTGCTCCCAGGGAAGCCACAAAGTGCACAGAGACAACAGCATGCAGACGGCCGGGAGCTGCAGAGAGCCACGGCCGGTGGCCGCCTGAGATCCGTCTCTTCTGCACCTGCACTTTGCAGATGGGCAAGCTGAGGCCTAGAAACCAGCAATATATTTAAGGCCAAGCTGGATTTAGCCCCAGCTCCCCTGACGCCCCAGGTGGTGTGTTCCCATGCCTCCTTCACTCTCGATAGGAAGCAGCCCCCAGAGGGAGGAAGGACAGGGGACAGAGGGAGAGGTGCAGTTTGAGAGGGCAGCCACCTCAGAAGGAGGACGGGGGTACGAATGAAGGGCTGGCCTCTCTCAGGCTTTTCTCTTACCCTTGGTTCTTGGGCCTTGCAGGACCTGCAAGGGCAGATCAGAAGGGCGGTCCCGGGCAAGCCCACTGCACTTCCTGACTTTCCGAGCACAGGGACGCCCGCTTGCCTGGGCCCTGACCACAGAGACCCCAGCTTCCCCTGAGTGTCAGGGGCCATTACAGTGGAAAAGCACAGTCGAGGCCCTGGCAGCCTCCTGCAACCTCCATATTTACTCTCAAGGGAAGCGGGGCCCAAAAGGCAATGGGAATGGCCCAAGGTCACCTGGCTGGCCAGTGGAGCAGCCAGGACCAGAAGATGTCCCTCAGCACCCAGCTGCCCATGTGTCCAAGAGGGCAGAGTTCTGAGTGGACACAGAAGCAGAGACTGGCTCACAGCAGCAGGGACAGGGTCAAGGCTCTGTGCCAAGCCCAGTCCCCAGTGTCTACCCGTCAGCCGGCCTCTAGGGCCCAGCAGTGATCAGGTGGCCCCCAGGCCAAGGTGCAGAGCAGGTTCAGGGCTGGACCCTCAACCCTAGATGAGACAGAGAGTGAGGCAGGACCCCACTGTGTCTTGCTGGGCAGTGTGAGGACCACCTGTGTCCAGACCACCTAGGGAGTGCTGGTTTTCACCCCCACCCAGCCCCCAACCCGCTGAATCAGGGTCTCTGGGGTCTGTGCCTCCCCTGCCCCACATGTTCTCACCCTGGGCCTGTGGACAAGCAAGAGGTAAAGCTGGATATGTCCCCAGGGGTGGGGGCATCCTCATGACCCCGCCCACCAGTGGAGGAACATTGCGGTGGAATTTTCCATGACCCGTGACCGTCTACAGGGAGGCAGTGGCCAATTTCCTGGCCCCTGGCTCACAAGCAGCTGCTAATTGGTGCTGTCTGTTCTATTTCTGCTCCAGGCCTAAATGAGGTCACCACCCAGTGCCGCCCTGAGGCGAGCCCAGCCTGGAGGGCCTGGCTGCCCAGCAACGTGGCTGGGGAAGGCTGCGAAACCTGGATCAGGACAGCCTAGGGGGACTGCCTGTCTGAAATGGACAGATTTGCCAGGATGAGGGACTTTAAGTGCCCAAACCAGGAAGTCCCAGGCAGGGGGGAGGAGTTGGTCACCGAGGACAGCTGGGACCATCCTGGTGTGCCTGCCCTGTGGGGCGAGCTCCTGGCTGGGCGGGTTGTCGGCCGCTCTGAAGGCGAGAAAGGCTGGGGACCCTCGCAGTCATGGAAGCCCACTCCTCAGAAACTCCACCGGGGCCAGCCGCTCAGCACACCCAGGCTGGGCGCTCCACTCTGGCTGCATAGCGAGGCTGGGATCCCTGAGCCCCCAGGCTGGGACTTGCCGAGTATCTGTGACTGCTGCTCAGGATGTAGGCAACAGCAGCAGGAGTACTCCACAAGTGGCTTCTGAGAGTTTCTCCCAGAGCTGCCTCGGGCTCATCACCTCCCCAAAGCCAGCCTCAGAAAAACATGATCCAAACTCCCCCTGAGCGAGCACCTGCTGTTCCCCACGCAGGTGGATACTTCGTGCTCCCTTGGACTTCACGAGCTAACACTTGTTGAGCCCTTACGACACTCAACACACCACATGCTCTGATCAATGATGTCATCCAACCTTCACGACCCCCGCCCGGGACGTGGGTTTCAGTGTCTGAATTACAGAGGAAGAAGCCAAAGTAAAGGATCTGTCTAGGGCAGTGGTTCTCAGTGGGGGCGATTTTGCCCCCCTCCCCCAGGGGACATTTGGCAACGTCTGGAAACATTTTTGGTTGTCCCAACCGGGGGCTGCTGCTGGCCTCCAATGAGTACAGACCAGAGACACTACTGGACATCCTCCAGTGCACAGCACAGCCACCACCACGAAGAACAATAGGCCCCCAAGGTCCTTAGTGCCAAGGTTCAGAAACCTCGGTCCAAGGCTCACAGCAACTCCCAGGCGGAGCCCAGATTTGAACCCCCTGCTCTCGGCCACTTTGCTGTACCTTCATTACTCTGGTTTGATATGTGCGAAAACTGAGGCTCAGACTCGCGAGGGCAAAGTCTCAGAGCCAGCAGAGGTGGAGCTGGGCTCCGTGAAGCTGCCCCTCACTTGGGCTGCAGCCCTGCTCTCCTCCCGCATCCTCGTTGGGTCGTCCAGGTTTCCTTCGTGGGCTCCTCTTCCGCCGCCCTGCCCTTAAATGCTCATGGGTGACCCTATAACTCTTCACCCAGCAGAGGTGCTTCTGAGAGTGGTAGGGACACCTGCTGCAATGGGGCAGGCATGGTAGGGATAGACTAGGACTGTCCCCAGTAACAAGGACACGGGGCCCCTGTCCAGGTCCCCTTTTCTCTTGCTCTGAGCAGATCCACACCCATCTGTTCACTGAGGAGTCTGGATATGACCTCCAGACCCATGCACACAGCTGTCTGCAGATGCCCCCCGTCAGGTGCGCCCATCCACGTGACCCATATCAACACCACCACGTTACTTTCCACTTTTTTATCATGGCATCCTAGCGGGCATGAAGTGGTATCTCATTGTGGTTTTGATTTACATCTCGCTAATGACTAATGACATTGAGCATCTTTTCATGTGCTCATTGACCATTTGTAAATCTTCTCTGGAGAAATGTCAATATAGGTTTGATAACTCCTTGCCCATGGTTCTTTATGTGGTGGCTGTCTCAATCCTGCCATGATTATTGTGGTCTTGTGGGAGCCTTTCTACAGAGTCCAGCATCAGAGACTGGCCATGGAGTTTTCTGGGGATGTGCCCCAACACAGCCTCCTGCTTGTGTGCTGTGCTCCCTCCCCTTCCAGTGGCAGACATCACCAATCTATCATGGCACTTGAAAGCCCAGAGATTTATCCACCGGGCCCCACTGGATGTGCAATTGGGTGGAGTGTCTGCCCTTGAGGGGTTCATTCATGAGGGAAGGGAAAAGAAATGAATGGACCTAACTTTTCAGGTGCTGACATAGAAGTCTATGCTGGGGACAGTGGGTCCCAAGGAGAGTGGGGTTAGTTCTACCCAGAGGGGACACAGAGGCCATAGCTGGGATTTGGGGGCTAGTAAATAACTCCCTTCCCATGTTCAGAACCAAGTGAGAGATGAGACACACAAGTCAAACACAGATCAAACTGTCAGCTTTATTACTGAAAAAGCTAAGCTGACCCACAACGAGATATCCCTTGACACTCACTAGGATGGCCATAATCAGAAAGACAGGTGATAACACATGTTGACGAGGATGTGCAGAAATGGGAATCCTTTAGCCCTGCAGGCGAGGATGTAAAATGATGCGGCCACTGTGGAAAACAGTCTGGTGGTTTCTCAAACAATTAAGCATTACCATATGACCCAGCAATTCCATGCCCAGGTATATACCCAAGAGAATTGACAACATGTGCACATAGAAACTTGTCCACGAATGTTCATAGCAGCATTATTCATAACAGCCAAAGAGTGGAAGCAACCCAAATGTCCATCAACTGATGAATTAATAAATAAAATGTGGTCTAGCCACACAATGGAATATTATTCAGCCATGAAAAAGAATGCAGTACTGATGCATGCCACAACATGGATGAATCTTGGAAACACTATGCAAGGTGAAAGAAGACAATCACAAAAGGTCACATATTATATGATTCCATTTATATGAAATATCTAGAATAGGCAAATTCGTAGAAACAGAAAGTAGATTAGTAGTTGCCTAGGGCTGAAGGGAGGGAGGGGTAAGGAGCGACTGCTAAAGGGTATGAGGTTTCTTTATGGGTGATGAAGATGTTCTAAAACTGATTATGGCAAATATACTAATAACCAATGAACTGTGTGCTTTAAATGAGTGAATTGTATGATATGTGAATTATCTCTCAGTAAAGCTGTCATTATGAAAGCTAAGCTAAGCTGCAGGATGTGACTTGGTTATGCAGCCTGGCCAAGTCGCCACTACAAGAAACTCTCTCTGGCTCCTGTTACCCTGTTTCCCAGCTTAACCCAGACACTCCCCCACCCCTACCCAACCTGGGCCTCCAGCTCCCATGTAGTGACTGCTTGCTCCTGCTTCCAGAGTGAGCTTGCCCCCCTGGGCTTTGAGCCTGGGCCTCTGTACCTGGCGCTAAGGCTCCGTTTTCAGCTCCTGTCTCTGCTGAATCTATTTGCATTTGTGTTCATGATTTTCTCCTTGCTTTTCTGGAAACTCTTCCTTTGTGATTTTGTTTCTGTGTTGTTTGGGGCAGATATACATACATACCACTGTTATGTATTCATCAATCTCTATCACTGAATAATGACCTTTTAAGTCTAGCTTAACTCCTGTGGTTTCAAGCCAGACGTCACAAATGGGCCGGTCTCTGATGCCTCTGGCCTGCATCCAGGCTTTGTTTTCCCACCAAATGTTATATATCTTGGATTGGAATTAGTTGCCAATATTTAAAAATCACAAGGTTCCCCCCCCAAAAAAAGTAAGGGTTTCTGGCTTCTCTTGAAGGTTCCAAAAATCTGACGACAGCGGAGGGGCCCTGTCACCTTTTGACAAGTGGGTGCTGTCTGGTCTGCCTCAGTCCCCACTGTGTCCTAATGTCTATCCCAGTCAGTGTTTCTATATACAACCCATGATTTAAACTTTAAACTTTGTCTCAAATTAAAATTGCTCCATTGACTCTCCTATGCTTGCATTTCATTCACTCATTCAGCAAATATGTATTGAATAGCTACACTATGCCCGGCTCTGAATTGGTACCAGGGACACAAAAGTGGACAAGGCCTCTGGCCTCAGAGACCTCCCAGTCTGTATCTGTCGCCCCTCACGCCTCTTCACAGCCCCACTGCCCACCTTTACTCCAGCAGCTGCAGGGGGTCTCACCTCCCACACCAGGCTCAGCGGCGCGGGGGGCTGTCTTTCTGCTCCAGGCTTCTCTGACACCAGGCATGACTCAGCCCAGGGAAAAAACGCCAGACCCTTGCAAACAAAAACCCAGTAAGTGCGATGGAGTTAACACCCTGGGGGGCAGGGAAGGGAGCCTGAGGATGAAAGCAGGGTGGCCAGTCCTGAGGCTCAATCCTCAGGACTCCTGGAATCCCTCAGGATGGAGCGCCAGTCACAGAGAGGACTGGCCAGCTCCGTGACTTTCACTCTCCCCAGGCCCCTACTGTGTTCCCTAGGGTCACCCCAAAAGAAGCTGCCTCCTGGCAAGCCTTGGTCTCAGGCTCCACTTTCGCTTCTGGAATGTCCCCAGGGGAGGAGGAGTCAGGCTAAGACACAGTCTATTGGGAAAGGCAAAGGGGCAGACAATACGCAGTGACGAAGATGTCATCAGAAGTACTCTTGAGGGACGACGACAGTGGAGAAGGGAATAATCAGGAGGGTCTAGGAAGATGTCACTGAGATGTCGTCCTTCCAGCAAGATCTTAGACCAGAGAGCAGGTCACCAGCGGCCTCAAGGGGAGGAAGGGCATTGATATCCCCTGCTGTACCCTTTGCACAACTTTTTTTTTGAGGAAGATTAGCCCTGAGCTAACTACTGCCAATCCTCCTCTTTTTGCTGAGGAAGACTGGCCCTGAGCTAACATCCGTGCCCAGCTTTCTCTACTTTATATGTGGGACGCCTACCACAGCATGGCTTGCCAAGCGGTGCCACGTCCACACCCGGGATCCGAACTGGCAAACCCCGGGCCGCCGAAGCAGAATGTGTGCACTTTACCGCTGCGCCACCGGGCTGGCCCCCTTTGCACACTTTTGTTCTCAGAGCAGTCTGGTCAGCAATATACGTTTGAGATCTGTGTTAATCCACCCAAGACTCTTTGTCTTACCTTAGTAAACCAATCCAGAGTTATCATGAGTATATTTATATATTATATCCACTTAAACACTGGGAATCCAGCACAAACCCTGCCCTGGTGGAGCCCACATTCTGGCGTGGACGAGGCGCCTTCAGTGAACAAGCACAGAAACATCTAGGACAGCATCAGATGGTGATAAATGCTTTACAAAAAATAGTGTGATTAGGGGAGGGGGCACATGAGCAAGTTCCTCTCATTTGACATTTAAGCAGAGACTGGAGTGAAGGGAGATCTGAGGCCATGAAACCAGCTGAGGGTTGAGGATAGTGAGAATGTTCTGAGGAGTGGCCCTGGCAAGTTCAAAGGCCCTGAGGTAGGTAGGATCCTGCTTGTTTGTTCAAGAAATATCAAGCAGACTGTTTGGTGGGAGAGCTGTGAGCAGGGAGCGGAGAAGAGGGAGGCAGACCAAGGAGAGCCCTGGGGGCAGAGGGGAGGGATGGGCTGTAATCTGGATTTCCATTTTATTTTTTTTATTTCATTTTTTAAAGATTTTATTTTATTTTTTCCTTTTTCTCCCCAAAGCCCCTCAGTACATAGTTGTATATTCTTCGTTGTGGGTCCTTCTAGTTGTGGCATGTGGGACGCTGCCTCAGCGTGGTTTGATGAGCAGTGCCATGTCCGTGCCCAGGATTCGAACCAATGAAACACTGGGCCGCCTGCTGTGCAGCGCACGAACTTAACCACTAGGCCACAGGGCCAGCCCCTGGATTTCCATTTTAAAAAGATCCCTTTGGCTGCTGAGTTTTGTTGGAACACACTTTCCTTCCTGGGTGTGTTTAATTATCTTTCTAACAGCCTAGATACAATTTTAAACCTCAGCTCCCAGATCACAGCAGTTTCCTGTAAGCAGTTTTGGAGATAAGATGCAAGACTTGTGTATTTCCCTAAACCTGGATTGTCTGCCAAATCCCTTGTCACCTTCGCCCGGGGAATGGCAGTCTAGCCAGCAAATGACCCGGGAGGGGTCAGCTCCCCCCTCCGTGTAAACAAGGCTCCAACGGCCCTGGGAAGTCAGGGTGTCCGAGAACCGGTTTAAAGGGGTTCTTGATTTCCTTCTTTCTTTCCTGGTTTTTGCTCCTGTCTTTGGACTCGGCACTATATCCTTCGCTTGTGTGCAGGACTCCTGGATTGAACACGGACCGTGTGTTCTTCCTCAAGATCACCTTTCCTCCAGAGGGTGTGATTTGATTTCCGTGGGTTTGTCTGAGGCAGGTTTTCTCTTTCTCCTCAAGGGGCACCGGCTCCAAATGAAGCCCCACCCCTGGCCCTCCATCCCTAGACCCCCTGCCTCCCCGCCGGGGACCCCCCCCCCCACCTCTGGCTGAATCAGACCTCCCGGCTTCTGGGCCTTTGCTATTTCCTCTCTAGCTTTTTATAGACCTCAGATATAGAAAGGCAAACAAAGATGCCGAGGAAGCCATCTAGCCTCCCCTTATCGGTCTGAAAATCATAGTTCACAGCTCTCCTGTGCAATCATCCCCTCCGCTGTGTCCTCAGTAACCCTGGGCACAAGGTCAGGTTTTCCCCACCCTAACATCCCTCTCTGCCCAACCGGGGTGTGCAAAGGCCACTCGCCAGGCTCCATGCTGGGTCACAGATGTCACCCAGGTGGGGGTACCCCTCCCCCAGGCCATCGAGGCTGGACGTTGTAGCAGCACCCACCCTCTAAAAGGAGTCAAGGCCACATTGCATCAACCAGAAGTGGACACTTTATCACAGACCTTGGGGGAGAGAGGCTCACACGAGAAAGGACCTTGGTACATGCCCTCCCACAGTCCTCTGAGCCAGAGCCTTAGCCGCCCCCTGCTCCCACCCTGCCCCCCGCCCCAGCAGCTCTGCACTCTAGGACTCACCCAGTGGTCCAGCTTTCCTCCAGCTACAGAGATGGGGCAGCACTAACCTTCCATCCTGAGCTGCCCCAGAGCTCACCCAAGAGGACTGAGCCTTTTCCCCAGGACCCTTAGCCAACAGCATCCCCAAGGAACGGCAGTTGGGTCTGCCCTCCGGGCCTACTGGCCGGCTCCCCAGTGGGAGAGGAAACCTAGCATGCAGCCGCCTGGATGGCCTGCTGGTGCGAGGGCAGCCTTCAGAGTCCCACCACCAGTTCCACCCCTTGCCACTGATAATCCTGACTCAGGTCCCCAACCTCACTGGGACTGTGTCCTCACCTTGCAGGGTAGTATCACTTTAGGGTTAAACAAGCTAGTTCCAAGCTCAGTGACAGGCACACTGTTGTGCCCAACGGAGGCAGTCATGCCGGCAGGCCTGGGGAGCCCACAGGGTCCAGACCAAACCCGATTCTGGCCTTTGGGGCTGTCTCCTGCGTGTGGTGCTCCCCACGGCTCCCAGGTATGTGAGCAGCCCTGATCCCGGCCACCTGTGGTATTATTTTTAGCTAGTCCCACCTCACCTGCCCTTCCAGCTCAGATCCACCCTCTGGCCGCTGCCCCCTGAGGGCCACCCTCCACCCCAGCCCAGGCTTGGGTTTTCCCAGGCGGGCAGCTCTGGCCTCCGGCCTCTGGCCTCCGGGAGTTGAGTCTGCGTAGGGGCAGCACTAACTTCCTGCAAGAGCAGGTCGGGCAGGACAGTCCTGCGTGCCCTCGAGGGCAGGACAGACCAGCCTCGCTGAGCGCCCAGGGGGCTGTGCCCACTGAGGGCGCAGGCTACAGCTTGTGCCAGTCGTCTGTTCTGACATTTCAGACTCTCCCACACTAGTGTGACGTTGGAGCTCCCAGCCACCTAATACCTTTGTGTGTAGCTTGAGCGGGTCAGGTTAGTTTTGTGGGTCTCAGTCTTTCCATCTGTACAATGGGGTAAGTAACTCCCATTTCCAGCAGTTACTGTCTGGGTCATGTGCCAATGTGGGGATGAGCAGTTTGTAAATTATCAGCTTACTCTCCAAATGTTGGGGTCACTTTGGCCCCAGGGCATTTCTTTCAGGCAGTCGGCCTTGACCGCCAGGCAGGCGGTTGGAAGGCCCCTCCTCCAGGGGGAGGGCAGAGGGCGGAGGGCAGAGGGCATTCCCCATTCCCGGCAGCCAGCAGCTGCTGGCGCAGGTGTCCTCCCAACCCCACTCAGAAGTATTTTGATGTGAAATCAGTATTGCAGCCGGCTTCACGGGCAGGAGGCCTGGGAAGATAAGCAGGTGGCTGTCACAGTAAACAAGGCCAGGGGCTCCTGGCACAGAGGGAAACTAGGTCAGAGGCATGGAAGGGATAGTGCTAGAAGGTGCTGCCACAGAGGCTGTGGTGCTGGGTCCCTGTTGGTGGCCAGGAGGGAGCAGCGGGCCTCTGGACATGGATGACCCATTGGGTGGGACACTCATGGATTCTGGGTGGCAACGCTGTGGGCCAAAACGGGACTTCAGAGTCCGGGCAGCCCACATGTGAGGACCTGGGTAGGCACAATGCACGGTAGTGGGTGTTGGCCACTGCTGGGCATGATGTCCAGCCTAGATAAGCTGGCCAGACTCGGGCCACAGCCCAAGCCTGCAGAATGGACATGGGACAGGAGCAGGTGGCAGGGCAGGGCCTGCTGGACTGAACCCCGGCTCTCTGGCTTAGCTGGCAGCCTGGACATATCTGGCCCCTGCAGAGGGCTAGAGTCAGCTGTGCACACGCCAGTGTCATTCTGCAGCCCCGCAGGTGGGAGGGGGCAATGCAGGGGGCAGCCTGGGTAGAAGCCCATGGAGCAAGCTGCCCAGGAATTCAGCGGCACGAAGAGAAGAGATGTGGGGTGAAGGAGAAGCCAGGTCTGGGTTTCCCAGGCAGACATGTAAGAAGGACATCTGGTCAGGCCCAGCACGGGAAAAGTGTGCCTGCCAGGGTGGGGGTGAGCCAGGTGGCCAGGAGCGCACTCTGCAGCGGGCTGGGGAGTCCTGGCCTTTGGAAGGTTTGTGTTGGCTGTTCGGCTGGCTGCCTTCATAGCCAGCTCCTGACGGCCCCACCAGGACCCGGCACGCAGCAAGGGCCTGGCATGCAGCAGGGGCCTGGCAGCTGCTCTGGGGCAAAGCTGTCTCTTTCCTGCCATGGCCCCAGCGCTGTGGTCAGAGTCATGGGCCGGAAGCTTCCACACAGGCTGTGACTCCCTGCCCAACTCTCTTCCTATCCAGCTCGACTGCAGGAAGCACACCTTTTGAACACCTTGCCTTTGTTTCACTACCTCCCCCGGCTCATAAGCACTGGCCGCGCCCCTCCCCACCCGAGCCCAGAACTACAGGCCCCCAGGGTGGAAGGCCACTGTATTACTTTGCCAAGGCTGCAGAACACCACAGACCCGGCGGGCTTAAAGAACAGAAGTGTACTTCCTCACAATTCCAGTCCACAGAAGCTGGAGGCCCAGGGCAAGGTGCCAGCAGAGCTGGCGTCCTCTGAGGCGTCTTTCCCTGGCTGGTGGACCACTGTCCTCTTCACACGTGTGAGTGCCTCTGCTCTCTCTGCGTGTCCAAATTTCCTCTTATAAGGACACCAGTCAGGTTGGGTTAGGGCCCACCCATATGGCCTCATTCGACCTCCATCACCTCTTTGAAGGCCCCGTCTCCAAATACAGTCACATTCTGAGGTCCCGGAGGTTAGGGCTGAAACATGGGACTTTGATGGGGACACAATTCAGCCCATAAGAGCCACTGAGGGCCCTTGGGCCTGGCCTGAGTCTACCAAGTGATGAAGCGGGGCTGGGGGGGTGGCGTCCCTCCTCGGGGCCTCAGCAGTGTTTTGTAGTTGATAGCGCCACCTCCCCTCCAGAGCTCCTTGAGGGCGAGGCGGGATCTGTGTCCTCTCTGGGCCCCACCTCTGGCTCCAGGATTTTATGAGCTGATGAGTGGCTTTAAAGGATGGCTAAATGAATAACTGAGGCGGGGCAGAAGCAGCCTGGCCCTGGGAGGCCATGGGAGGCGGCCTGACAGTGAGGCTGGCCTTTCTGAGCCCCTGCCCACCGGCCCTTTCCAGCCATGCCTCTTCACTGCAGCAGTGGCGACACCAGCCCCGCAAAGCTGCTGGCACACGGTTTCCAAAGAAGCCCCATACCCACATTTCCTGAGCCTCAGAGCAGCAGCCAATGGAGGGAGGAGGCCGGGCAGGCCTTGCTGCAGGCCACCCCACTGTGCCGGGAGATCAGGTAGGGCTTGCCCAAGGGCAGTGCTAGGGCGCACACCCCGGCCTTCTGTCCTATCCTCACTCTCCCAACTCCCCAGTCCCCGCCTGAACGGGGGCTGGGCTCCCAGCGAGGAGTGAATCACAGGGAGCTGGCAGGATAAGACCTGTACCTGTGGCTACCCAGTGCCAGGCACAGGCAGCAAGTCCGCGCGCCTGCCCTTCCGCCCTCTGCAGGGGAGGCTCCTGAGGAGGAGCCAAGGAGAAGCAGGGCTGGGCAGGGAGAGCTGACGGGGAGGCAGGCGGCCTGGGCCCCCCGAGTCAGCCTTCTGTCTGCTTCTGAGCCCTGTGCCTTTTGACGAGTTACTCAAATTCTCTGAGCCGCAGCTTCTTCATGGATGAGTCTGGGGCAAATGTACTCCTGTAACAAATATCAGAGTGCCTACTATGTGCTCTGACTGTTTTCAGCCCTGGGGCTACAGGGATAGATAGGTCCACATCTTCACAGAGCTGAGGGGCCCCACATGCTCAGGGAGCAGGGCTGGAGTCCCGCTGGGGTCGGGGTGGGATGGGGTGGTCCATTTAGCTGGGTGGTCAGGGAAGGCCCCCTGTGGAGAGGGATGGTTTGAGCGGGGCAGGGGGATGAGGAAGAGAATCTGGGGTGATGCCTGTCCGAAAAATGCTCAGAAGGGCCGCTCCCTCTCCTTGGGCCTGCTCAGGAGGGGAGGGCTCAGCCGTCTGCCCCCACCCCCAGCTTTCTCCCAGGACCCTAGGAGGAAGCCCTCCCCTCCTGCCAGCCTGCAGGCCCCCTCCCCTCGGTGCTTTCCCTGGGCAGCTCACACTGCAGCACCTTCCCTAGCAGGCCAGCCATGAGCACCAAGGGCAGTGGCTGCAGGGGCTGTGGGACCCCTAGCTGCTCTCTGCAGGCCCAGCACAGGCCGCCCACACATACTCCCGTGGGCCTCTAAGCTATGCCTCTGCTCCCTGTGACCAGACATGCCTCCCCAGGGGGACTCTATCCTCAGCCCGGCTGTGCAGCCACAGGGGGACCCTTGACCCAGACTTTATAGTTCAAATGCTGGCTCCAGCCCTTACTGCGGAACCCCAGTGACTAAAACTGTCCCCCTCGGGAATGTGGGGATGCTGCAGCACCTGCCTCCCTGCGTGGTCTGAGGATGGGCCTCTAAGTGGAGGGAGGCCATAGCCATTTCCACGCCGAGTCCAATAGGGCCCACATCTCCCGTGGGTGCGTGCCTCGGCCATAAGGCTCTCAAGCTTATTTCCGAGAGGAGGGCAGGGCATCCAAGAGGCGACGTGATGCCCAAAGTCACACCGCCGGTGGCTGCCGCATCCGGATTGGCGAGGATTCCTTGGCGCCCACCCCAGGGCCAGGCCTGCCTGAGGCCCAAGGCCTCCCGCCGCCCCCACAGGACCGCCCAGAAAGCCTTTCTGGGCCACTAGAAGCCTGGGCCACCCCGACTCGCCTGTCATTACGACCCGCCAGGGAGGCGCTACCGAGCTCCACGCCCGAGGGAGGCGCCTGGGGCCCGGACCCTAAGACCAGCTGGAAAGGGAAGCCGCCTCCTCTTGGGCCTGAGCCCGCGGGGGGCACGGCCAGACCCCCGCCCAGCCCCCTACCCCAGCACCCGGCCCCTTCCCCGCCCCCTCTCGTCCCGCCACCTCACCCCCTGCCCTCTCTTCGCCCGCAGTCCTCACCCCCCTGACGCTCTTCTCTCCCCCGCATTCCCGCCACCCGGCCCCCTCCTCGTCGCCCCCGCCCGGACCCTCCTCTCCCCGGCCCAGTCCCTCCCCGGCCCCCTCCGGCCCCTCCTCGGTCCCCGCGGCCGCTCTGCGTACGGGGTGACGCAGCGCCGCCAGCCCGCCCGCCCCGCGCTCCGCCGCCGCCGCGCCCCGCCGGGCTCCAGGGGCCGCTAACGGTCCCGCGCCCCTCGGCGTCCCCCGGCGCCCCGGCGCCCCCCGCCCCGCCGACCGCGGCGCCGGCGAGCGCTGGCGCGATGGGGGCGGCGGAGCCGCTGAGCTCGGTGCTGTGGGTGAAGCAGCGGCTCTGCGCCGTGAGCCTGGACCCCGCGCGCGCGCTGCTGAGCTGGTGGCGGAGCCGGGGGCCCGGGGCCGGCGTCCCCGGCGCGGGTGAGTGTCCGCCGGCCCGCGGCTTGGCCAGGGGGACCGGGGCGCGCCGGGCAGGGAGGGGGACCCGGGAGGAAGAGGTCGGGGCAGGCGGAGGAGGGGGCCCGGGAGGCCCCGGGGACGGGAGGCTGGGAGGTGGAACGCAGGCCCGGCCGTGGGGCCGGGGTCTCGGCGGCAGCTGGCGGGGAAACGTCCTGGGCGCCCGGGTGTATACACTCCGGGGACGGGCATGACAAAGAGCGAGCCGGGAAGGTGCCGGCAGGGAGCGCAGGAGTCCGGGCGCCGGCGGTCTCCTGTGGGGATGCGACCCTGGAGGGCGAGGCGTGGGGTCGTGACTGCAAGTAGGGTCACGGGCCGGGAGATGTCCCATCCCCCAGGCCGGCCCGCGGCTATCTCAAGGGCACCATCTGGACGAGAGTGATTATTGAGCGATGCGGAGGGCGGCTGCCGACGCCGTGAATTCGGTTTCAGTTTCACCCAAGGACAGATGCTTTTCTTTAGCGGGGATCCAAAACCGAGAAGGCGCCCTTGCAGGGTAAGGAATTCCTGTTGTAGAGTGACAGAAGGGGCTCCTGCCCTTCTGTCCGGGATGTGCTCCCTGGGGGGCGGGGGGTGATTTTGGTGCAACAGGCTGGACGCATGGTCTCCAGAGGCCCTCCCCATGTGGAGAAGTGTAATTTAGATAAAAATGGAAGGGACACACCCAGCCCTGGCCCTGGGGGCACAGAGCGGTGGATGGGATGGACGAGGGCACTCTCCCTCCCCAAGGCGAAGGGACTCCCTGGCAGGGCTGTCTGGGGGCAGAAGGATGGGCAGAGGGGTATCAAGGAGATGTCATCTGATCCAGGGAAGGAGGAGGATTACAGAAGGCCCGTGTTTGGACAGTGAGAAGGGGTGGCAGCCACAGCCGGGGACACCCAGGGCTGGCCAGTGTGGGCGTCTTCTCCTTCATTCGTCTTCCACAAGTTTTTATTGAGGGCCTCTTGGGGAGGGCCCGGGCGTGTCCTAGCTCTGGCTCAGTGCATATGGCAAAGTCCCTGCCACAATGGGGCATTTTCCATTAAAGAGAGAGACACAGGGGAACACATGGGGGCAGGGATGACTGAGGAGAGCCCCGCAGGGTGCTGGCAGGTGGCTCTGGTACAGGTGGTCCCAGCAGCCCTCACTCACATGGTAGCATCTGGCCAGACACCTGGACAGACTTGTGCACCAAGGGCAGAGATGATCCAGGCAGGAAGACAGCTAGTGTAGTGCAAAGGCCCCAAGACTGGCCAGGAGGCAGTTGTGGGTGTGGCAGGAGGAGGGAGGTGGGGGAGGGGACATGGGGCTGTTTGGGTCACAGGGGCTGAGAAGGGGGCTTGACTTTTTACTGTGTGTGCAACGGGAGCCCCTGGAGGCTTTCGTCCAGCTTAACATCCTTAAAGGATCCGTGTGGCCTCTGTGGGGAGGAGACGACAGGAGGGACCAGGAACTGCAGTTAGGAGGCTGTTGGCCTCGTCCAGGCAGGAGCGATGGCGAATGGGGCTGGGGCTGCGTGAACTGGATAAGCCGAGCCAGGGGAATGTGGTCCAGATGGGTGGTCGACTGAAGTCGCTGTGGGAGGAGCAGGGATTTATTTCCTGTTGTTGGAGGTGGGTGTGGTGGAGATCAGGATTCTCATGTGAGCAGAGTTTGGGTTGCCCTTTAGATGCCTGGGGACAGTCGGGGATGCTATGGTGGGTGCTGCAGGCACTTTCCAACCCTGAGGTTTCGAGGCTCTGCAGGTGGGGGGAGGGGCAGAGCTGGAACATTGTCCGGCCAAGGTCAAGGGTGGCCAGGGGCCCACACTTGGCGTCACCAGAAGCAGCGTCTGCAGAGAGCTTATCTGTCTTGGGTGTCCGAGGGCTTACGTATAATCTTTCTGACATCCCCTTTGGGAGAAATGTCATGCCGCCCCCATGTATAGTTCTTGCTCTCTAATGCTAAGGTGAACAGACAACCTGGCCTGGCCCCAAGGGCTTTTGGGCTTTCCTGTAAATCTCTCAGCTTAAGGATGACGACACTCCTGCTTCCTGGGCTCTTCTGTGTGAGCCACCACCGAGCCGCTATCTGCTGTTCTGTGTCACATTCAAACATGATGGATCCCTGCGGGCCAGCGATTCCCATATTTTATGAATGAAGGGACTGAGATGTAGAGAGTTTAAGTAACTGGCCCAGCTAGTGGTCAAACTGGGAGCTTGGTGGCTCCAACTCCAGCCACTGTGCTTATAAGCAGTGGGCAGTGTGGCCTCCCTCAGGCCGGAGAGGCCACATGGACGATGGACAGACCCCACCCAAGTGGGAGGTCCTGGTGGGAGGTCACTCGTTGCCTGCTTTCAGCGTTGGCATCTTCGCCTAGCTGCCATTCTGGTTTCTGGTCAGCAGATTCTGGGTTCGTTTGGAGGCAGCGTCCACCCTCGTTCTGCTTGTTTTTGCTGGCTGCTCACTCCCACCCGTGCCATCCTCTTTCCCAGAATGGTTGTTGCTTCACTCCGACAAATCAGGGAGGCGCTTTTGTACAGGTTCATCCAGAGCTTGCTGACTCCCCTGCCAAGAGCTTGGTCCCCTCCCTGGAGAGGCCGGGACTGTGGGAGCCCAGGCCGGGGGGCTTCCTCCAGGGAGAAGCCTGTTCTCATCACACTCTGTGCTCTCCAACACGATGTGAAAACACTGCAGTAGCAGCGCAGAGACACAGCTGCACCAGCTCTTGGGTTTTCTTCCTGTCTCTGCTGCCCCGGAAGGCATCAGGCCCACAGTTGAGGATTTCGTGCTCGAGGTCAGCAGGGTCAGCGGGGAGGCATGGAGCAGTCCACGGGGCATTTAGTCCAGTTCACGGAGTGGTAATGCCCAGGTGTGTCTGGACAGGCCTGGATGGACTGTGGCTGGTGGGGGAGCGAAGGAGGGTGGAGGATTTGCAAAAACAGCTCTAGCAGGACCTGCCATGGAGCTCTGGGAGACAGACGAGTAAGGAGTGAGTTGAGAATACCTTAAAAAGGAGAGAGAAGGGAGCTGCGCTGGGGCCACTGTGTGCACGGGCCTAAGTATGGTCACTTAGGTTATTTCATCTGATCCTCTCAGTTTCTCCGTACCGTCACTCCTATTTTCAGACGTGAAGACTGGCAGCCATGACTCGATCGCTCTTGGAGGCGCATGATGTAGAAAAGGAAGCTGGCTTTTAACCCAGCCACATACTTTTTCTTCTTTGGGTCCCCGTGCTGGGCACGTGGCTCTGTGTTCGAGAGCAAAGGAGGGAGTAGGAATTTGGAAGGGCAGTTTTCTGGACCCATAGGCTCTGCACCTAAGGAAGCTATGAGCAAGCAACTGCTCCTGGGGCCGCCAGCCTGGTCGGAAGTGGGGCAGACTGAAAACAGGAAACCCTGACAGAGGCTTCTCAAAGTGGGTCCAACTAGTTGAACTTGAAACAGGCTGAAATTATAGCTGGGTTATACCCCCAGGCTGCAGGAAAATGCACTCAAGTAGACTCTGAATGTGTTCTTTCAGGGTTGGGGCTGGGAGTGTACGTGTGTGCGTGGCTGGTAGTGGGCCGCTTGGCCATGTCACTGCTGCATTTGTAAAGCGCGTCCCCAACGCTCCCCACGCAGTGCCCAGAAAACAGAGGCAAGCCACAGATACTTAACAAGTTTTTTTCTGCTTACAAAAGTAATTCATGTTGATTTAATAAAATCTAGAAAACACCAGAAGAGCACACAGGAAAAAACATCCTCAGTCTTACACTTAAACAGTGAATAATATTTGGTGTTTGTGTCTACGTAAAATATATGAAAGAAAAGCTGGGGAAATATTCTGCAGAATGTTTTCCATATTACTATTTACTCTGTTAAGACGTGATTTTTAAAAATCAACTTTTTGAGGTATAATTTGCATACAATAAAATTCACACATTTTAAGGGTATAGTTTGGTGAATTTTGATAAATTTGGGCACCTGCCTAAGCATCACCCCAATCAAGATGCAGAACTCCGGCATCGCCCCCGGCCTCCCCTGCCGTGTCACTCAGTCTCTGGCCTGTTCTAGCACCAGGGACTGCCTCCACCATAATCGATTTTCATATAAATGGAGTCTGCAATATGCACTCTTTTCATGTCTGGCTACTTTCTCTCTCTCCCCCCATTCACCATGTATCAGTGGTTCCTTCTTTCTTGTTAGTTGTGGGAGGGTACCGGTCTGTTTATCCATTCACCTGGTGATGGACTTCTGGACCGTTTCCAGTTTTTGGCTGTATGAATAAAGACGCTTTGATCATTTGTGTGCAAGTCCCATTGAAGGCACATGCTTTCATCTCTCTTGGATACATGTTTAGGAGTAGAAGCCTGGTCAAAGGAAAATGTGTATCTTAAGACGTGATTTTTATTGGTTGTGCAGTGTTTTACTACAGGGACATTACAAATGCTGTTTTTATTGATTGATGATGGTAAAATTTTCTCAAAATCAGAATCAGATGTATTACAAATTTTCATGTAGAAATAAGTTATTGCAAGAACATAGAGGACAATGTATAGTCTTGCAATAGGGGAAGAGCTTCCTTACCAAGATGGAATCCAGAAAGAATAAAGAAAAAGCTAGGTTATTTGACTAAATAAAAATCTCACAATTTCTTTTGTAAGATTCCATAAGTGAAAAAATGACAGGGTGCCGGGCCCGTGGCCAAGTGGTTAAGTTCGTGTGCTCCACTTTGGCGGCCGAGGGTTGCACTGGTTCGGATCCTGGGTGCGGACATGGCACTGCTCATCAGGCCACGCTGAGGCGGCGTCCCACATAGCACAACCAGACGCACTCACAACTAGAAGATACAACTACGTACTGGGGGGCTTTGCGGAAAAGAAGAAAAAAAAAGAAGAAGATTGGCAACAGATGTTAGCTCAGGTGCAAATCTTTAAAAAAAAATGATGGAGGTGATATTTGCAACAAATATGATAGTCAAATGATTAAATTTTTTAAATTAAACATATAAAAATTGATAAGAAA